CCCTTCATGCATGCACCTGCCCATGCACATCTGGCTATAAGTGCTCACCAAAGTGTTGACAACTCTCTCTTTGAAGCTCATTTGATCTGTGTATCCAGTGAAAAAGCGAGGCACATATGAGGGCGGGGAGGGGCAGCCTGCAGAGCGCATATCCAAAGAACATGGGATTCCCCTCAGCAGATTAACAGTGGGGATACCTGAAAGTAATTCAGCAAGGAGAGGTTTGAACATTTCTAGATGCACAAGCACATAAGTCATCCATATGTGGCAGAACTCACCTAATTTCCGAGCTATTAATGAACCTGAGGGCACCACGGGGTCTGTCAAGATGGCATCAAATCCCTGTAGAGTGAAACAGTGAGAAGGTAAAGGTAAAACAGAAGAGAGGAGTGAATCCTCAACAGTGTTTCAGCAGTTATTCATAACATTCAAATGTCGTCCTCCTCCATTCATTCATGAATGGCTCAAACAGACTTGTCAGTTGTTTTCCATAAACTCACAGTCCTTCTGTCTGACACTAATTTTGTCATCACAACTTTGTGATGAAAAGTTACTTCGTACTCTTTACCCAAAGCCTGCACTTAAGTACAGTTTTAGGTATTTACATTTGATGCTCTTTCTACTTCAGCTCCACTACATTTCAAAGTCAAATGTTATAGTTCTTACTCCACTACATGGTTCTTACAGGTATAGGTATTTTGCAGCTTAAGATTTTATGTTAAAATATACAATATATTGTATAAAATATGATGCATTGTCACTGTCATTAGGGCCTCAATTGTTTAAAGTCCAAAGGAATTGTTTGATATTTTCTAAAAATACCAGATATTACAGAAGTAACCAAAAATGAATTCAGATTTGTGTAGCAGAAATTTTTTCTTTCCCCACTAGACCTTTCAGTTTAAACACTTAACCCTAAAACACATAACTGTATATAATTAACTGCACCTCAACCAGCAGGTAAAAGGTTATTTAAACATTGGCTGATTAACACAGTGATAGAATAGCAATCTCATGATGCCATTATGGTAATATAATAATCACACTGGCTATTTTTCAGCAGAACAAGTATAAGTAAATACTTTACAGTTTAATGCAATTAATTGCATTGTAATTTACAGCTGTTTCCAGTGTTGTTTCCCTTTGTATTTGCACTCACCTGCTGTGCCAGATGTGAGATGAGACTGGCATTGAACAGTAGGCTCTCTGCAGTGGTGTGGATCAAAGCCATAATTGTCTGGATGTGTGAGAATTGTGCCTTTATCCTCTCCATGAAAGACCGTCCAGATGTTTTCATTACCTCTTTATACATGGACATCACAGAGTCAATATAAGCCTTGTCATAAGGAACAGGATAGGTCACAGTGTCGTAGTGTTTTCCCGGGGCCATCCGCATGGAGACCTCTGGCATCACTACGGTGACCCGGTGGCCACGGCGACCCACTTCTTGGGCAATAGCCTTTAGGCCCACCCAGTGACTCCCATCCATGGGAATCACCAGCAAGTTACCCAAGAAAGTTGGAGAGCCGGTGTCACTTGCAGGATCAGTGCCAGTGTCTTCAGCCTCTTCTGTCTCCACCTTCTTCTCTGGCCTGGAGGTTTCTGCCAGAGACCCCCTCTTCTTATCTACAGCAGCATTTACCTGCATGGCCATGTTCAGTAGCAGGAGCACAAACACTGCTGGTTTCCACATTGTTCTCTTTTCCTCTGTGTCTACAGCTCACTGAGTCCAGCACCCTGAATCTGCTTCCTTCAGAAGCCTGTCTCTGGCTGGTTTATTGAAACTCCTCTGTGATTTAGTAGAGTTGTGTATGTTCAAAGTCCTCACAGCTAGTAGTTGGAGGTCACTGATATGGGATTGTGTAATGTAACGTATTGCCAGCATATATAAAATAAAGCACACAGTCAGAGGTGACTAGTATACTGTTAACTGTCTCCCTGGTAATCAGTAGCCTACAAAACCTCCATACTCAAGCAGGTGTACAAGTAATTGTCAAAAACAAAACTCTGCTAGTAGTGACATGGTTGAAAGGTACATCTGAAAGTCAATGTTAGCACTTGCAAACAGTTATTCCTAGTATCAAGAGGTCTGTCAGAGCTAAAGGTTAGCCCGCCTTAAGATGTAAAAAGTAAAATAAAATAAATAAAAGCAAATTAAAAAAAACTAAAGTGAAAAAAACCTTTGTGCTTTAAGAGCAATAAGAAAAGTTTCTTGGTGTACTCTTAATGTGAAAATACATCCTGATCCTGAATTAATTTCCTGACAGAGTTGCACAAAAGTTGTACAATTTAAAGAATAACATAGTGGTAATAAGCAAATCATTCTGCTAGTATAACATAAACCTGTTCCTTCTTACTTTATTTGATACCAACTAATTCCATAGAGATTTTAAATATCCATATATTGATGGTGAATACTAAATAGGGTTTACACATTCTTTTTTATCTTATTGATCAAAGACTAGGAAGAGTTAGACCTTTGTGATAGGGTGTTTACAAGTAGTCTGTTTGTTTGGCTGGGGAGTTTGACCTACAGTTCATGTCCCTACCAGGTGAAGGTGCAGATCAGTGGACAGCAGCACCACACAGTGTAAACTTACCGTGGGTGAAGAGCGACGTACCCCACAGATAGAACTGATAGTAATCCATATCACATACAAGATTATCATCATAGCTGGCTGAAAAGAAACATAGGCTTCTGTAGCCTACATAAACTATCAAATTAATTCCATCTCGACCTAAACCAGCAGTAAAATGTTAAAAGCCTCGGTATTAATCAGTAATAAAACAGCCCTATAATAGCTAATAGGCCATAACACTCACTGCCGTCATTTTTGTGCGTAATGGTATCAGTGCATTTCACTGATGAGTAGCCTTCTTCTGTGGGCCTAAGATACTTTTATTTAAATTATGGTAATTGAGTATTTTTACAATACGGTATTGGAAACTTTTACTTAAGTGAAGACTACATACTTCCTCCACCACTGGTCATAACAGTAATATTCTTCATAAAACATGTTTTGAATTCGGTGTTTGAATGTCTTGTGTAATTTCAGTCATTCAAACGCGTTCCCAGTTGGTGGCGACGTGGCGCCATTTTAGTCCAAAACATTAGAAGAAGAAGAACCTACAGGACACGAGAGAGTTCTGTTCCGCCCATGGCTCCGTCACGGCGGTCGCGCGCACCATCAAGTAGGTTATCCTTCTAGAGTGCATCCAAGTCCAACCGGAGTCCTCGAGCTCTCTTCTGCTATATACCAAAATAAGGCTGTCGCCATTTCATAGTGTAGCTAGCAGATGTTGAGTAAGAACCGCAAAGAATATGCCAAATTCTGTATACTCTGAACAGTGTGAGACAAAGTAAGTTTTAAAAGTCACTGCAGTGTAGTTTTACTGCTGAGTGACGAACTTTGAGCTGTTGTTTAAGCATAAGGCTAGCTTAGCTGGGATGCTAAAATGAGCTAAACTATAGTAGCTTATTTTATATTCAACAGACTGTGGATAATGTCGAGTCGTGTGTTTGTAAATCTCGATTAGTAGCCCCAGGGCCTCAGACCGACACGGACACGGCTTCGATGATTCAGGTTCACTTTCCTGCTTTGTTTGGCTTGGTGTCATCTGTTCCATTAAACATTAGTTTGGTAATATCCATCCATCCATTTTCTATACCGCTTAGTCCCAAACGGGGTTTAGTAATATTCACCCTATAAACAGGAAACCGTATTAAAGGCAGGGGTTATTGCTATGTGTAGTTTGCTGTGTGCCAACAATATAGCACCCAAAATAGCCAAAGGTTGGAAAGGTTGCGTGTTAGCGAACAGGTATTTGTCACCTGAAACAAAAACAAGGTCATATTTCTAGTAATGGGCAGTTTGTTTGTTTTTTATTTCCACCCTTTTGGTTATTTGTCAGTAAAGTGGTGTCTTGTCTTAAAATTACAGCCATGCAAGTGACAGCAGTTTTGAGGCAGATGACTTGGAGTTGGTCAGTCATTCATTGTCCATAAGAGTAGAATATTACAGGTAAGACCACATGAACTGTCTGTGATCTTGAAAATTGTTAAAAAAGTAAAAAACTATGCACTCTGATGATCCCACACCAGTGTACTATATTTTGTGGGTGCTTTATCACAGGAAGTCACTGTTGCTCTCTCTCACAGGTCACTTGAGTATAATCTGAAGTGGATAAGTCCCATGGCTCCCCAACGCTCCTCCAGAATATCTAAGAAGAGCCACCAGAGAAGTCCCAGGCCAGCTGAAGAAGTTACCCAGCGCTTGACGGGTAAGAGAGAAAAGATGCGGCTGAGGGAGACCAAAGCTGGTGGGAGCAGAGTGAATACCCACAAGGGGAGGAACTGTGACATCCTTGACATGATCGACAGCACACATGAGGCAGAGTGTGTGACCAAGGAGGATGAAGGAAAGTGTGTAGAGGTTACTGATAAAGGACTGGATGAGCCAACTGAAGACTCTGACTCTGTTAACAGCAGTACAGCTTCTGGTCCCTCCTTCTCATATCACGCCAAGGACCTGAGGCTCACGCAGCAGCTGTGCTCAGCCTGTCAGAAGCTCTACCAAAAGTCCAGGAAGATGAAAAAGCCGATCAAAAGCAAACTCTTAGACATTGGTGAGTGCACTCATTCCTTTTACTACAATGAGATGAAAATAATGATGTCTGTGTGGGGAAATTTGGTTATTGATACAGCGAGTACACAGAAGATAGACATAATGTAAAAAGGTCATAACACTGTTATATTTATGTTTCTGCACACACAAAGTAGGGATGGGAGATACCAACATTTTTCCTTTTGATACAATACCATTAGTTTATGGTACTTTTTCCATCGATACGATACCGACACCGATACCTTTTGCCCCTTTAAAGGAAAATGACTTCTGTTAATAACATTCCCGAAACAAAACTGTTTGTTAGTATTTTCTGATACATACAGTACAAGCATATGAACCTTTACGTTTGTCAACTAAATGAAAGAGTGGGGAACATGGCTTCACGTAGCTCAGTTACATATTTGGGGTAGTTTAATAAAATAATGGTTCGTTCAATTTTTAAATCACTTATAACACATTAACTGTCACCTGTACCTGGATATTCTTTGCCTTTCATGAAACTCTCCTGCAATGTCTTCTGATGGATAGTAGATGATGCTGATGATGCTTGAGGCTTGCTGGTTTGGCTCTGACATCTGCTGCCATAATGTAAATGGACTGTATATAGCGCATTTTTCCAGTGTGTTGCACTGGCCAAAGCGCTTTACAGAAGATCATACACCATTCACCTATTCACACACCGATGATGACAGGCTGCCACACAACGGCGCTAGTCAAGCCACCGGGAGCAACTTGGGGTTCAGTGTCTTGCTCAGGGACACTTAGGCATGCGGGGAGAACCTCCAACCAGTCCAACCACCAACTTGCTGGTCAGAAGACGACTGCCCTACCTCGTGAGCCACAGCCACCCCTTCCATGAAATTGACCTTTACAACTGAGGACAAATCGTAGGAAGTTGAAGGCAGAAGTAACTTGTGCACTATTATTTTAAGAGCATGTCACATGTAAATCTGCACATGAGGATGTTGTACAATGTGTAGGCAAAAGCGGGGTTCTTGAGGATCCTTAAAGTGTTTAAAACAATTACATTTGATTTTAAAAATTTAAGGGCACATCTTAAAAAGTCTTACTTTACTCATCTTAAATTTTGAGATGACCATTAGACTAACTGAGACATCTGAATATTAGGGCTAAGATTCTCTCGATCTCGATAGCGCCATCATTTTTTTTATTACTAATTTTTATGGATTTGTATATCTTGTGTTCATGTGACTCATACGTAATCTGTTCATTTTCTGCTAATTGAAAAAAGAAGGAGCTGTCAAGATGAGGAGATGCCTCTGAGTACCGGGAATGATTAGCTGTTGCAAGTAACAATTTTGAGGAACCTGCAAGATGAGCTGAATAGTTCTTAAACTTGGGACAATGGGAATTAAACCAGTTGAGTCCCATATGTAATTAGAAGAGCACAGATGCTTCACTGGTATTCAAAAAAGTACAGTGCCAGTGTAGTCTTATGTGACTGCTGCCACTATCATCAGCTCCTACTGGATAAAAGACTATACAGATACCACAGATACACTAATATACAAGTAATTAAGCCCACCCATAGACTCTATGGTCACACCAGTAACTGTCATCTAAATAAGCATTTGCTTTATAGCATACATAATATATTATCTCATGTCTCATACATATATAGGCTGCACACAAAAAGCGACAAATAATTGTGGCAGACTGTCGACTGTAATAGTGACATCATAAGAGAGCATAACACATGAATAATGCAGCAGGTTAGTCTGTATTCAGTGTACAGGTGTTTCTTAACATGTGCGATTTCTTTTTCTGGTTTGTTTTTCAGATCCCAAGTCCATGACATGTGACCAGTGGGTCTTGATCAAACAGTGGAGGCCGAGACGGCTGATTAATTCAAGGGGGTAAGACCGCTTGTGTGTGTGATTGCTGACTTTTAAGGAGGAACAAGCAGGTTCACATGCTGTCAGCTGATTATGACTACTCTGATCTGTTTTGTCAGGAAGCTTCTGCTCCATGTACAGTTGGTTATGAATAAGCGTAAGGTCAGGAAACATGCGAAGCAAAGTGAGCAATCAGCCTGCTCAAGGCCACACATTTTCCTAAAGCGGTAATGATAACACACATTTTGCTACAGTATCGAAGCAGAGCAGTCAGCCTGTTTACAACTAACATGACTTGTACATGGTGTACTTTTGTGTCAGGAACCTTAGGCGTTGCACCAGAGTGCCTGTAAAACAGAAGAGTACGAAGAACAAGAGAGGGAGGAGGACACAAGGTGATTCTCAGTGTCCTCGCACAGCTAGGCAGCAGCATCTCAACAGTAAACACTACCGCCAGCGCAATACTAGCCGCAGTGATGACAGCGGTCATCATTCTGGCAGGGCTCACAGCAGCAGAGCTTCTACTGAGAGGTCTAGTGATCAAGAAGTCGACAGTGAAGCAGGCACAGATCTGACTGTGGCACAGATTCCCTCCACAGTCATCCTGGAGACCACCATGCCCAGAGAGCTCCCGCCAACGAAGAGAACACCGAGGACAGGAAGATTCAAGAGGTTGCTCACCCAACTGCGTAATAACAGCAGCATGGTCGTCAGAGAAACACGTTAGCATGGTGACTCTGACATTTATTAAGCTAGAGTTCAACAGCTGCAGATTTTTTTTAACTTATGCTGCTGGTTTTCAGTGTTGTTCATCCTGGCTGTTATTCTTTTGTGAATATGAGTTTGTAAATAGTTGTTTCCATTTACCTGGAGTTTATGGACAAATACATTACTGCTGTAGTTACAGGTACTTGCATGTTATTTATTACTTCTTATTAACAGAATATAATTTAACTTTTTTTTTAGAACTGCATGACTTTGAATAAATGTGATATATTGGTCTGCTTTTAGTATTTCTGTAATTGACCGATTTCCATCACCAGTAGCACTACATTAACACTGTCGACATGATTAGTGTCTAGTTTCTTCACGTTATAAAAGTGATGGTGGTAAAGAACAAGGTATTGAAAATTTGGAAAATCACTATGCTTTTATTGCTCTTGAAGTTCTGTGACAGTCTACTTTCACATTAGGTGTGATGTTCATGGCACATGATTGTATCATTTTCTGTTAAAATAAATGGGTGTGTTGATTTTTTTTTCTTTTTGGAAGTGTACTACACAATGGGAATCCAGAGTAAAAAATATTTGAGTGTGCTGTTAATGGACAGCATTGTGCCACAGTGTAAAGCTAAAGGTAGATGAGCTGCTGACAGCTGGAGAAAAAAAAACGGATGAAAAATGGCTCCTGGATTTCAGAAAACAACACAAACAAGTTGACTTACTTCTTTAGGAAAACATTTTCCCATCACTTTAAATGATTGACACAGCTTCATGGCCCCATATCCCATCATTCCCTGTTAGTATAAAACTAGAACGTGATTTCTTGCACATTACCTGCCAAAACTATATTGTTAAGTACCTGCTATATACTGTTAATATGTTGTATGGAATTGGGACACATCACATCTCTACCAAAACACTATTTAACAAGTACATTTAATGAATGGCTATAAAACACAGTTGAGATATTAGTTTATTGACTAGTTTGTTATACTGTTGCCAGGTGGCAATAAACCCTTTTTCTGAAAGCCCATGAGGTGGCGCCACTTCTTCCAACAATGTTGTATGTTTACGCCACAGACTGTATATGAAATCCATGGCTTAAACATACAAGGTATTTGAGTCTGGTTTTGTGTAGTTCTCATTTTATTTGCACACATGCCAACAACAAATAGAAAGCAAACACTCTCAGAACATACAGATTCCTGGGGAGTGCAGAGCATCCTGGTACATATAACTAATCAGAATCTACTTCATTGGCCAGCTGTGTTGGACACATGAGGAATTTGACTCTGGTACATCAACTCTCGATGTGCATGTACATATCCCAATGCAAGGGGCAAGTAAACAGTAAACCAGCATAAGGCTGTGTAGTATAACAAAATAAGCAGTATTTACAAGCAACAAACAGTGCAAACAATGTAAAATAAGTGGTATTAACAGGCAGTAAACAATGTAGACGGACAAAGGAATGCTCATTGGATAATAGGAATAAAAACAGTACTTAAAACTAGAGACCTGTACAGATCTGTATAATCTGTACAATGTATATTGACAGGCATTGCACTGAGGAATATTGTCCAGTCATACTGTCCTGGGTCAAGTGTTAATCACATTGACAGCCTGGAGGAAGAAACTGTCCCTGTGCCTGGTTGTCTTAGTGCACAGTGACCTGTAACGCTGTCCAGAGGTCAAACAGATTGTGTCCAGGGTGTGAGGGGTCTGCAGTGATCCTCTCCACCCTCCTTTTGACCCGTGAGGTGTTCAGGTCCTCCATGGAGGGCAGGCTCACACCAATGACCTTTTCTGCAGTCCTCACTGTCCGCTGAAGTCTGT